TTTCAGGTTCCCTGCTGCTCAGTTCAGAGGCAAGGTCGCTGACAGCTAAGGTCGACAGGAGCTTGACTTGGTTTATGGGGGAGGCAGCATTGGTTTAATAGGTCTCGTCTCTCAAGATGTTTATGACAGTGGTCACCACGTAATTGGGTAAAATCTCTCTCTCTCTCCCTCACTATTGACATCACAGTTAATCTTGCATTAATCGACATTTTGTTTAACAAGAGAGAAATATGTGTAGCGGGATCCCTTGTATATGTTGATGAAACTCATCTTCCAATCATCATCTTCGACATCTTGTGAAAGTTCCCAGTCGCCAAGTCGGTGCTTGTGCCAGCTTTCCCAGTTCTAGCAAGCTCTCTTTGACTCTCTCTCTCTAGAATTTTTCTTGAGCTCTTAGAGAGTTTTAATTCTTGAAAGATGAACAAAGCCACAAGGTGACAAAACAGCTACGCCGATGGTGGCCATTGATAGAATGTTGTCGATGCCATTTATTCTCCGCCATTCTTGTTTCAAGCTACGAGGCGGAGCTCTTAGGGCATTCTAATTTTTGAGAGAAAACCAGAGCTGAGAGTAGAGAGATCATGCTTATAGATTGACAAGTCATTGCCTAAACATCCACATCTAGCTTTGGATGCCGGTGCCGGAGATGCCAGTGTCAGTGCCAAAGGGGACAATGAGATATTTCGTTAAAGTCAGTACCGATGCTAGTGCCGGTGTTGGTTTATAACGGAACAATAACAGTAAGGAAAATATTAATCAATTATTAAAAACAGTACAAGTAACGTTAATTAATTTTTACAGTAAGGGTATACTTGGTCAATTAACTATAAAAATTTACCCTATAAAAAATAATTTATAAGATAGGCTGGGTTAATTGGACGCTCGCTTGGCCCGAGTAAGAACCGTTTAGACTGTAGTGGGTCAGGAAAACAGAATTAAACCTCGCAGACCCGACTGAAATATATGTTTGTAACCTGTAAGCTGTATTCCTTTCCGTCGTTTTATCATTACCCTCTCGCGAACCATCATTTATGCCCAATTTGATTTCTGTGTTAACGTCAAACCACCCTACATGCTTGGCACTCTTACAATCATGCACGTCCATGACCCATTTCTTGCAAATTCATGCCCAAATGATCCGGAATCTTCTATTCGAAGACTCTTTTGCAGCGAGCAAATTGATCGAATTTTGTGCAGTTTCCGACTCCGGAAACATTCATTACGCCCGCAAAATATTCTCTCAGATCTCCCACCCAAATACTTTCACCTGGAACACCATCCTCCGAGGTTACGCCAACTCACCCTTTCCCAGGCCATCCCTTCATCTTTTCAACCAGATGCTCAAGTCCGGCGCCAAGCCCAATTCTTTCACCTTCCCCTCCGTAATCAAAGCCTGCGCCCATCTTGCTGCATTTGAACAAGGCATGCAACTCCATGGCTTCATCTCTAAGTCCGGAGTTGATTACGATTTATTCTCGATTAATGGCCTTATTCATATGTATGCTGTATGCGGGAAGACCGATTTTGCTCGTAGGTTGTTTGATACTAGTTGCCAAAGAGACTTGGTATCTTGGAATTCGATGTTGACCGGGTATGTGAGTTGTGGACTTCTTGCACAGGCTCGTCAACTGTTTGATGAGATGCCAGAAAGGGGAGTTGTTTCTTGGAATGTGATGATTAGTGGATATTGCAAGTCTGGTGACGTTGACACTGCCAGGAAGCTCTTCGATGGGATGCCCATTCGAAATGCAGAGTCTTGGAATACGTTGATCGCCGGGTATGCTAAGTGTGGTCTTGTAGAAAATTCTAGAGATTTGTTTGATCAGATGCCTGTACGAAATATTATCTCTTGGAGTGCAATGATAACTGCGTATGCACAAGGTGACCGTCCTCTTGAGGCTTTGGCTTTATTCGACAGGATGAGGAAAGCTAATTTGAAACCCAACTGGGCAACCATTGTGAGTGCATTATCGGCCTGTGCACATATTGGAGCCTTGGATAGAGGTAGAAGCATCCATCTCTACGTAGACCAGAGCAAGATGAAGGTTGATTCCATTATTGGGACTGCACTGATAGATATGTATGCTAAGTGTGGGAGCATAGAAAATGCATTTAGGATTTTTGACATGTTAGCGTCCAAGGACGTGTTCTCGTGGACAGCCATGATTGGAGGGCTAGCCGTGAATGGCCATGCTGAGAAAGCCTTGGAGCTCTTTAGTCAAATGGAAGGAGATGGGGTGAGGCCTAATGAAGTTACCTTTGTGGGTGTACTCAGTGCCTGTAGTCATGGTGGCTTCGTGGAATTGGCTAGGCAACATTTTAATTCAATGAAATTGGTTTATGGCATTGACCCACAAATGGAGCACTATGGTTGCATGGTAGATACACTTGGACGTGCTGGTCTTTTACAAGAAGCAGTGCCCTTTCTAGAAGCCATCCCTGTGAAGGCTAATCCTGTGCTGTGGGGTACCCTGCTTGGTGCTTGTTGGATCCACCGGAATGCCAAGATAGGGGAGTATGTAGGGGACCGTCTTGTTGAGCTCCAACCTGATGATGGTGGTGTTTATGTGCTCTTGTCTAACATCTATGCCACAGTTGGGAGGTGGGATGATGCAAGGAGGGTAAGAGTGCTGATGAAATCAAAAGGCCTAAAGAAGAGCCCCGGGCGTAGCTCAATTGAGGTCCATGGTGCAATCCATGAATTCTATGCTGGAGATAAATCTCACCCTAGAATAGAAGAGATCTATCTAATGTTAGATAAGATCAGATCAAGATTGAAACTTGTAGGATACACACCAAATACATCTCCCGTGTTGTTTGATGTACAAGATGAGGAGAAAGAACATGCTGTTTCATATCACAGTGAGAAACTGGCAATAGCCTTTGGTCTAATCAGCATGGAAGCTGGTGTTCCCATCAGAATAGTGAAGAACCTTCGGGTTTGTCATGATTGTCACACTGTCTCAAAGTTGATCTCCAACATATTTAGTCGAGATATTGTTTTAAGGGATAGGAATGTGTTTCATTATTTTAGAGATGGATGCTGCTCTTGCAGGGACTACTGGTGACATTACATTGCTGAGCTTTGGTATAATAATTTTAGTGCAAGATGGTGCTTTGGCTTGTATATGGGTTGAAGATCAGTACAACTAAAGATGGAATATCTTGCTGGCATGGACTTAAGTACTAAACATATTGCGAAATGTGAATTACTATTATTCGGGTGTATCACCTCTCTGCTGTCATGTAATCATAGCAAACCTCAGTAGGTTGATCCTTAGTAGTTTGTTATAACTTAGAAGGCGCCAGAATCACAAACCTACCTACTCTGTAAATGGTGTATAACTGTATATCACCTTTTTAACATCAAGCACTTAAACCAATCCAACATTGTTTTGATACGGATAATCTCCTCGGCTTGAATCTGATTGACTGTTTCAATTAAACGTTATTATGGGGAAGAAGAACTACGTAGAGAGATAAAGGAAGATATAGCAACAACTTTGTTAATTTCCACCTTCATCGACTAAAAGTACCTTTTTTAATCCCTTTTTTCTCCGAAATATAATGTAGACTTTTTCTTTCTCTGTTTAACTTTTATAGTTTAAGATTTTGTGGAGACCCAAATCATAATATTAATTAAATTCCTCATTTCACGTCTATAAATTTTCAATGAAGACCAATCAAATATGGCAATTAATTGTCATTGCCGCCAACTAACTACAACCTCATTTCCAAAACAAATTATTTCAGAGATTAATTCTCTTCATTCTTTAATAGTATATGAAGAGCAGAAGAGAGTAACCTTACACTAGCCTCTACATACAACCATCCCCAGTCCTTTGCTCTAGCATCATTTCCAAGTTCCAACGAACCCCCCTCCCCCAACCCCACCCCAAAAAAATGAAAAAATGTTTCAACATCTTGGTTCTCTTCTTATCTTCCTTGATTTGTTTCAATCTGTCGAGGGCTTACAGCAATAGAGATGGTGCCAACCGTGACAACGTAGTTGCACGTACCATTACTGTCGATAAGTGGGGCCATGGCAATTTCCGCAGTGTTCAAGAAGCCATTGATTCTATTCCTCCAAACAATAAGTGGTGGATCCGGATCCATGTTGCTCCTGGTGTATATAAGTAAGTACTGAGTACTTCAGTCATAACTGTTTCTTTTTGCACTCATAGCTTTCATCTTTGTAGTTTACTTCAGTAAATTGTTACTGTATATGCAGTGAGAAGGTGCGCATACCCAAAGAAAAACCATTCATTGTTCTCGAAGGAGAAAACAGAAGAACAACTATAATACAGTGGAATGACCATGGCAATGCAATCACAAGTTGTACTTTTGCCTTGTTTGCAGAAAATTTCGTTGCAAGAAATATTAGCTTCAAGGTTATATAAGAAACTTAACCAACTCTGTTTCGATTGGTATGAATTGAGAGCTTGAATCATGGATTGCCATCATTCTTCGGTGATATGACATTTAATTTGCACTACTGATCTTTAATTTACAGAACTCATATGATCAGATTTCTCCAAGAGTACATGGGAAAGTAGTCACCTGGGCACCAGCTGCTCTGATACAAGCAGATAAAGCTTCCTTTTATTATTGTGCTTTCATCAGTTTGCAGGATACATTGACAGATTCACAAGGCCGCCATTATTTCAAGTCATGCTACATAGAAGGCGCTATTGACTTCATATGGGGCAATGGTCGTTCTGTCTATCAGGTGGATGAACTACTTCAATTAGAAACATGGAATATTTCTTTTTATCCTCAATGTGACCGCCAGAGCCACTGCCCACTGTAGCTTTAATATTGCCATTTTCATCTTTGTAATCATTTACCAGCTAGAGACTAGAGATTCAATATCTTACTAGCTAGCCCTCTTTATTTTCTTGTGTAGGCATGTGCCATAAACTCAGTCGCGAGAGCCCTGAATGGTATTACAGGTTATGTAACTGCCCAAGGCAGAAACAGTTCGGCAGAGGACACTGGTTTCATTTTTCAACGTTGTGTTGTGTATGGAACGGGTTCAACATATCTTGGAAGAGCATATGGAGGGTACTCAAGGGTGATATTTTACAAGACAGCCTTATCCAACAATGTTGTCCCGGAGGGATGGTCGGCATGGGGCTACACTGGCCATGAGTAAGATTTCATTAACTTGCCTAATAGACATTTTCTATTGTTTTTTTTTTCTTTTGTTTTATGCTGCTTGACCTTACCTCATTTCATAAATTTAGAGCAAACCTTGACTTCCTTGAGTTGAGTCCCTATAATGGCCTGCTGACAGTCTTCCAGGCAGCATGGTTGGGGGCCCAAAACCAAAAGGCTCACCCTGCTTCCCAGAGTGATATAATAATCTTTTATTAGCTTAAGTTTTAGAAGGAAATCCTTTCTTTTCTTCATTGGGCTATACAACCGGGCTGCGATAGTCCATTCCCCATATCCATAACCCCCAACCCTAGTGGCAGCGGGATTTAATACCAAGTTTATTCCATAACCAGCCAGAGAACTTACCAACTGAGCCACCATCAGTTGGTTCAGAAGGAAGTTCTCGTTTGTTCAATTTCTTCCTTTTCTAGACATCCTTATCTGTTGATGAATAATCTAGGTTGGCCCATCAACTCTTCACATGGCAGAAATAAGTCGGTTGCTGATGAAGGGAAGTTCTTCCTTCCATGTCCTTTCTGCAGTGCCTGCTCTTGTTCTTCTAACACTTTGAATTGCATTAATAACTGCTTTTGATTAGTCCTCACTATATGTGTTGTTTTTTTTTTTTTTCACAAAATTTATCACATACAAACAAATAAGGCGGCGTACCACTGGATTTATAGGTCAATCCTCAATAGTGGTTTATGCTCTTTATTATGCTAACAACTTGTAGAACACAGGCAAAACATTGCTTTCTCAGAGGAGGCTTGCACTGGAGCAGGGTCAGACAAATCCAAGCGGGTGAAATGGGAAAAACATCTTAACCATGGAGAGTTGCATAGATTTGCAAAAGGCTATACTTTCATAGATCAGGAAGGATGGATAAATAAACAGCCTCAGCTTTTATGATCAACCCAATTTGCTAAATCTTAAGTAGAAGACAAGCAACTCTTTGTAATAATGTAATCTATGCTTGTACCACCATGCATTTCTCCTTGTTGTCTCTTATGGACGAACTTAATTAGAGTGTGCCTCGAACATTCCTAGTCAATTTTTAATTAAATTGACTTAGCTACTACTATGTGTTGGATGCTGTTTTAATTTAAATCTTCAATATCTGCTTTATGTCAACCTTCTATTATGTTCAATCATTCACTAGTTGCTGGATAAAGAATAAGAGCAAGCAACATCGTCGAGCCTAGACTGAGTTTTGTTATTGCATGCCAAAGAAAATAGCTGCAATATATTGCCTAAGAAAAAATATCGGTTTTGAATTCAAAATACAGAGAAAACAAGTAGAGCAATTCCCTATTTTAGACATGCCAAAAAATCCAAAAGCCCCAAGGTTCCATTTGGTTCGCAGTTGGAATCGGAATCAAAATCTGTCAAAATCGGAATTGGAATGGTCTATTCCCATAGTCCATTTGGTTCAGACAGGAATCAGTGTGGGAATTAAAATCAGTTGGGTTGGGATTTCATTCTCAAGGGAGGGGGAGGAAATGGCCATTCCTTCAAATGGGATTCCGATTCCATCCGATTCTAGACCCCTATTCCTACAAACCAAATGGGTTCCAAAATCTCAAACCATCTTCTACTAATTGCTAAAACCGTATTCAAACAAGCTTGAAACCTTGATATTTCAAGAAGGGAGTTCTGTATCAGCACTGTAGACTTAAAGCTGTATTTGGTTTGAAGGAAAAGGTTGTATAGGCTTCTTTCCCTTTCCCTTTCCCTTTCCCTTTCCCTTTCCCCACCTTTTTCATTAAAACCAAACAAAGTGTAAGAGTGTTCCTTGGGGAGCAGCAAAGAAATAAAATAAATTAAATAGGTCGCATTGTGAAAGGAGCTAGCTAGTTAGAGTATTTTAGTCCAGTAACTTTGCATCATTCGAGTAGTGAAGGATCGATAGGGGTTTTGAAAAATTTTCAAAGTTCATGAAACATTTAACTGATGAAGATGATTGATATATGATAGGGAATTGTTAGTAATGATTCTAACTGATTTAGGGAAGAAATGAATGAGAAATTGAGGTTTCTGCGCTATTACAAGCTTTTCAAGCCATGTTCTATTCAAAACCAACGACCCCCTATACTTGCTTTGATATAGCATTGTTAATATGTTATTGGGGTTTATTAGATTTTCTCTTTTTATATATTATCTTGTTTTGCATTTACATAGAAAGATTGCAAATTTTCTCTTGAGTTTACAAGCTGCCTGAACATTGTAATTTGGTCGATCATCCAGCTGTGACCTCTGGTGGAGACACGTTCCTGCTTCCTTGCATTTAAATTACTAGGGACAGTGTGTCTATGTATTTATATAGGTGGCGTTCTCTGATTGCAATTGCGCAAAGAAACTGTGACCTAAGCCGCCCGAAGTGGTTAACATCTTAACATACACCCACATGCAACATGCGTACTTGTTTAGAGGCTCAATTAATACCACTTTCCATTCTCGTTCTTTCAAAATTCAAAATGTTACATAAACTTTTTGAAAGATAATATATTGATTTTTGAGCAAAGCTTCTGACGCTGCGTACAAAGGGCGCACCTTTGCCTCTGCGCGTCTGACTGTATCCATTCATACACTTATGAAAATTTCTTTTTATTTTTTGATAAAATAATGGAAATTTTCCATGTTATAACTTATAACGACTGGATTTTTTTTTTTCTTCTATATATGGGGAGCAGGGGACATCGAGTTAGTTGAGAGTTGGGACGATGTAATAATGGGTGCACTCCTAGTCAAACCGAAAAGACTTTTCCGGCTTCTAGGTTCTAACCATGCAAACATCGTAAGCCACCGAATCATGTGGACGGTCGACTCTATCTCTATTGTGTGTGTGAGAGAGAGAGAGAGAGTCCCAACTATATGCATTCAATAGTTCCTCTTTATTTTATACTATAAATACACTTCTCCATCAATCCTATGAACCAACGAGCATTGCTACTAGGATTATCTATTTCTCTCTTCAGAGTTGAGGGAGATATGGAGAAACCTTTCAAGAATGTTGCAGCATTATGTGCAACGGTGATTATGGTGTTTTTGGTGGTAGGAATAGTAGAAGGACGCCGGGTTGAGAGAAAGGCGCTTGTTGATGGCCTAGGCGGAGGTTTTGGTGGTGGTGCTGGAGGAGGTGGAGGGCTTGGAGGTGGTGCAGGTGTTGGCGGAGGGTTCGGTAAGGGTGGAGGCATTGGTGGTGGTGCTGGAGGTGGAGGCCTAGGAGGTGGTGGAGGTGCTGGTGGAGGATTTGGGAAAGGTGGTGGTGGTGGCCTTGGAGGTGGTTCAGGTGGTGGTGCTGGAGGAGGCATTGGCGGTGGTGCAGGTGCTGGTGGAGGCCTAGGAGGAGGTGGAGGTTCTGGTGGAGGCATTGGTGGTGGTGCTGGAGGTGGTGGCGGTGGAGGCCTAGGAGGTGGTGGAGGTGCTGGTGGAGGATTTGGGAAAGGTGGTGGTGGTGGCCTTGGAGGTGGTTCAGGTGGTGGTGCTGGAGGAGGCATTGGCGGTGGTGCAGGTGCTGGTGGAGGCCTAGGAGGAGGTGGAGGTTCTGGTGGAGGCATTGGTGGTGGTGCTGGAGGTGGTGGCGGTGGAGGCCTAGGAGGTGGTGGAGGATTTGGGAAAGGTGGTGGTGGTGGCCTTGGAGGTGGTTCAGGTGGCGGTGCTGGAGGAGGCATTGGCGGTGGTGCAGGTGCTGGTGGAGGCCTAGGAGGAGGTGGAGGTTCTGGTGGAGGCATTGGTGGTGGTGCTGGAGGTGGAGGCCTAGGAGGTGGTGGAGGTGCTGGTGGAGGATTTGGGAAAGGTGGTGGTGGTGGCCTTGGAGGTGGTTCAGGTGGTGGTGCAGGTGGCGGTGCTGGTGGCATTGGAGGTGGTGCAGGAGGAGGATTTGGGAAAGGTGGTGGCATTGGAAGTGGTGCAGGAGGAGGATTTGGGAAAGGTGGTGGTGGTGGCATTGGGGGTGGTTCAGGTGGTGGTGGCGGCATTGGAGGTGGTTCAGGTGGTGGTGTAGGAGGAGGATTTGGAAAAGGTGGTGGCATTGGAGGTGGCGGCGGCATTGGGGGTGGTTCAGGGGGAGGATTTGGTGGTGGTGGTGGGGGAGTAGGCGGCGGCTCCGGTGGTGGAGTTGGTGGCGGATTTTAGGCTTTTAACAACTATGAACTATGATAAAATTGAATTCCATGCACGTGCATGGACACTTAAAATAGAGTTGTGTTATACCATTACGTATCTTTACTATAGCTATTAATGTACGGTTATTTAATGAAAAAATAAAAAGAAGGTTGGTTCACTGACTCTGACTCACTCCTTTTCTTTCGTCGTCAGAGCAAAAGGAGACTATTATCCTCTGCATTTATTCTGTTTCTTTGAATTTGTGGAATGTGGAACTTTAATTTGTCTGTCTGTCTGACATTCAAATATATATGTAGATCTCCCCTACCTTGCGCCGGTCGGCCAAGACCGGCGTCAGTAGTCCTTCATCAGTCATCAGGTCCATCGGCTTTAAATTAGCCTTTCATCGGAAAATTCAGTTTTACCAAATCCGCCACATTTATTAATAACTACTGGGAAACGAAAATAATCAGCAAAAACAACTATCAATTTCTATGAGTAGATGTAAATCAGAGGATTTTCCTCCTCCTCCTCTCTCTCTCTCTCTCGTCATTAACTACTTGGCCAAAAAAGAGTAATTGATTTACACATCTAGCCATATAAATACTTGTCCTTACCATTAAAATTGATGTTCAGAGCCTGTATAGCTGTGATAATTAAAAGATTAATCTAATCTAGTTCTATTTTATAAACAGGTAACCAGTCGTTTCCGTCGACGAAATCAATAGATAAGAACTTAGCAGCTTCTTCTTCCTTGAGTTGTCGAGCCCACGGTGCTCGTTCTTCTGTAGCAGCACCTGGTCCATGGCAATCGTACTCCGCATGAAATAGATGTCTGCAGTTTCAGACAGACAATTAATATTTAAAAAGAAATTACCAGTACTAATTAAAAATAAAAAGGTTAATATATAATTAATTAAAATTGATGGATATATGAATTTCTTAATTACGTACTCTGTGCTGCCATCGTAGCTCCATTTGGTCCATCCCTGTGGAGCTATGGTCCTAGAGAGGTAAGTCTTGGCGAAGACCACCCTTGAATAGGCACCCTTTGCTCTTCCCAGATACACCCCGCCGATTCCATAAACCTTCCCCTTCAAGAACACAAACCCACTATCATCGTTCTCGTTTTGCCTGTTCTGTGCTGTGATAGACCCACTTATCTTTACTCGCGTGTCGGCGATCACAAATATCTCACAACTCTGCATGCATCCATGGGGTTCAGCTATTGTCAACACAAAACAGAACATCTATCAGAACCTTTTTTTTTCTTAGTTTGCTCAGTGAAATGAAGTCCTATTCCGGTAGATTATTTAGGCTCACTTTGTACTCTTACCGAACTGAGCCTTAAATGCATGGGTAAATGCAATTTCCGGTGCAAATGTATTTACTCGTGTAAAATTGTATAATGACCATTTTATCTAAAAATTAATATCATCGAAGAGATAATATTTTCTAATCACATATTAGCAAGTTTTTACATGTACATATAGGTAAGCCAAGTCTCGAATAGATATTATTTGCCCTAATTGTTAGAGAGTATCAACCTATGCAAGGACCTCACCTAATAACTAAATTTTAGGTTGAATGGTTCTTTAAGATGATATCAGAACCATTTTGGCTAAGTATTGGTCTATTGTTCGATCTTCATTACCCCCATTAATTAAGTTTCGGCACAAGGTATGGATAGGCTTGTGTTTATTCACACTTCATGCCCAATGGACTTTCGTGTGAAGGCGTGGTAGAGAATATCAACCTATTCAAAGACCTCACTAACATCTTAAGTTTTTAGGTTAAACGGTTCTTCAAGACTAATAAATGAACTGCTTGCCAATCATATTTCTTTCCATTAATATTGAAATACAAATGCAGATTTATTTCTTTTTCATGAGACTCACCAATTTGCCCGCCCCACTTCTTGGAAAGCCAATGAGGCTGAAAAAGAAAATAAAAATATCCCAAGGCAAGAGAAACAATGGCAGTACTCACAAAGAAAACAGACTGGCCTTGGCCAAAGATGAAATCGATGGAGCCTTGGATGTAGCAATTATCGTAATAATGCCTGCCTTTGTGATCAAAGAGGGTGTTGTGAGTACTGTAGAACGCACAGTGGTAGAATGCAACCTTGTCTGCTCCCACAAACGCTGCCACAGATTGATTCTGCGACGTAAAGGCGACCCCAACCGGTGCATCGTTCTGTAAACAACAAACATTAGAGAGATCGATCGATCGAGAGAGAGAGAGAGAGGGTCATCAACCTTGATGCTGATGCCAAAGGCAATGAAGTGGGAAGCTTCGACTTTGAGCGTGGCGGACTCCAAATTGCTTTCGGAGCTTTGAGACCACACGAGGGACGTCTTTCCCTTTCCATTTCCTCTCAAGAATATGTATGGCTTTTTCTCTGGTACATGAACCTTTTCTCTACGTTTATCCAACACAATTATATTAATACATGATCATCACAGCTTGATTCTTGAACACGAGGAAAGACAAGTCGGTGCAACAGATCTCACCTGTACACTCCTTTTCGTATATGAATGATGATCCACTCAGAGTTGCCTTCTGGAACAGAATCAATAGCGGCTTGAATTGATTTGAATTCACCATTACCGTTGATATCAACCTTTATTGTACGGTTGGTGCCAATCTTCTCCGTCAAGAGAGGAGAATCAATGACCCTGTTCGCACTCAAACCATAAACAACATCATAGAAACCGACTGAGAGAAAGAGGACAACTGAGATAGCAACGTGAATCGTTGGAGCGACGAGAGGATATGACGACAGCGACGACGACATCTTGGTAAGATGGCATTACCTGTTGATCCGAATGAGTTAAAAGAGAATGGGTCATTGGGACTTGTGACAAGATTTATATAGCTTAAGCCAAAGCCATTGTTTTTTTTGTCTCTCCACTGCAAGGGTTTGGCCGTTTGGAAGTGGAACTCGGACAATTTGGTGTTGGTATGGTGGGGAAAGTTTATCTCAAGAGGGTTAATGACCATTTCTTCTGCGGTCCTCAAGTTATTTTAGGTTTAGAAAAACATGGATGGCCATGTCAGATGGCCTCTTCTGCTCCCTTACCCCAATTATTTGCAATTCTAGAGAGTCTCCATTATTTCCTTTCTAAGTTTACGGAGTTGTCACCTCAGCATGTTTTTTCTCTCCTTTTATTATGATTTAGGAAACTAATAAAACTCACATTCTTTGTAAAACCCAATCCTTGCTTATGTAATGACAATCATAAAATCCTCTCCTATAGTTTTATTTTAACGAATAACTCTCCTGAATTTTTTAAAAATTTAACAAAAACCTCCATTCCGTTACTGTTTTAGACAGAAAGCGTTAGATTGATGCATCAGTTTTTTTCCAAATATCCATTTTACCATTTTATAAATTGTTTTACATACAAAATTATTGAAATAATTCCATTTTAATTCAAGAAAAAAACATATTTCAATAATTTTGTATGTAAAATTACTGAAATAATAGTTAAAATTAAAAAGGTTTTTTGTTGAGATCAATCTTTGGGTCCCTTCTTCCCCTTTGTTCTCTTACCAGCTCCCTCTCTTTCTCTAACTCTCTCTCTCTTCTTCTTCTTCTTCTTCTTCTTCTTCTTCTTCTTCTTCCCCTTTGTTCTCTCTCCCTTCCCATGCAATAAAGGTCTCAGCAAACATAAACCAACAAGCGAAAGAGATCAATCTTTCAGCTTAAACATGTACGACAACATTTCTTCGATTGGGTTCAAGTGCATGATCATGTTTTGTAATTCACACCGGCCGGTACTTGGAGCAACATGGATGTACCTTCGATTTCAAGGCGTTAGGGAGGGAATCCATCGCTAAAGCTGGATAATATTTGATCCAATGGCTGAGCTCTTGACTGCAAAACCCTGAGTGTAAGGTGACACCTTTTGTAGACTCGGAGATTAAAATCATGATATCTCCACAACTCTAGTAATTTAGCTTCCATGTCTGTGGTTGCTAAGAAAGTGAAAATTTTGAACTTTTGAGTTTTGAGTGTTGAGACTTAAGAGAGGGAGAAACGTCTCTGCCTATCTTTTAGCATTAACATCTACGACAACGTTTATTTGGGAGACATAAAGCATTTCCCAAGCGGATCCAAGGGGTTGTTCCAACATTTATTGGATAATTTAGGGTTTCGTCATCAAGATGTCACAACGGCTTCAATCCTCGTTCGGAGCTTCATCTTCTTCTCGATCAATCGACTGGATAATCCTAAGTTAAATACTTTGCAAATCCATGTTCCCATGAGGTCACTTGCCTAGAATTGCAGCCCGGTAGCGCTTGGGTACCTCCACCACACCCAAATATTCCTCCCACTAAGGGTGTCGATTGAACTGGATTTGGTCCAATCCGGTCCAGTCCAATATGAGTCCATTACAAATGGACCTGGTCCAATCCAGTCCAAAGAATATTTGGACTGGTCCAAAGATTGTCCAATCTGTTCAAATTCCTGTTAATTTACATTGGTTTCAACTCAAACCTAGTCCATTGACACCTATGTTCTTATTTTCTATCAATGGACCAGATATTGACTCAATCCAATATAAATTCATTATGGATAGACCAGGTCCAATCCAATATGTCATATTGGTCTATCTGTCCAATCCATCCAAATTCAATATGTCTTATTGATCTGTCTAGACGGAGTCCAACCCAAAACCAGTCCATTGTCACCCCCTACCTCCCACCTCACCTTATTCGTAGATCTTAGTGTCTCGATCTAATGCACAACCATTGGGTTTGCAAATTTTTAGTCTGTTGTCTCGATATAGAAAAAGTGGGCTATTTTGATCCCAATAGAAATAGGGCAGACACATGGTGGAGTCCAAAGATGAGAGTTCAAAGCTTTGATCCCCTTCAAGTGTTTTATGATATCTAGTTTAATAACATTTCAGATCAATGTCTTGTTTGAGAAAGAGAAGAAGAAGGAGAAAGAAAGAAAGAATGAGAAAGAGAGAAGAGAGAGAGAGAGGTGGGAGGATGAAGGGGTGCTGGTAGAAAGGAAGGGGACGGGGTAATATTGGGTATTAAAAGATTTTTAAATGCCATGTGTGTATGGGTTTTGACGAAATATTAGCGAATGTTAACAATAACGATAGAGCTAGTAAAAGAGTAGGGGTATTGTTAAATAATAGTCAGAAAAGTATGGTTTAATTTACTTAGTTAATTAAACCATAAGGGTAGTTTAAGAAATTTACCCTTATATATCTATAAATTATGTATACAAGTCATACGCAGGGTGTACAATTGATCGGTTCAGTTCAAATCAATGACCTAATTGACTATTCAGTTTTACCATTTCCTCTAATTGAACCGATCCTAATCGAAATTGGTTCGGTTTGGTTCGATTGGGCCTTGGTTCCACATAAATGACAAGCATTTAATAAGTATTATTAATGAAAAATGGCCTCAAAACCCAATGGTTCTAATTAACTATTAACTATTATTAATTAAAAGTTAAAATGACCCCAAAGTCCAATGGTTTTAATTAATTAGCTATTGTTAATTAAAAGCTAAAATAAACCCTAACCTATTCCAATACAAAATTAGCGAATTGGACATTTTTAAAAATAATTAATGATTAATAAACAATTAATCACTAACAAACAATTAATATAAGTCTAGGTTTTAATTAACTATTATTAATTATTTATTGAGAAATATAATAATTAATTAACATAAAGTATTAAATAAAACATTAATATTTAATATATTAAACTAAATAACAGCATTAATTCAATTTTTGGTTCGATTCCATTAAAAATTTTAATCCAACCGAACCACTGATTTTTTTTAGAAAATAAAAACCAATCGAACCAATAGTCAAATTAACTGAACCGAATTAAGTTATTCGGTTTGGTTATGTTCGATTTTCGATTTATCAACCGAATTTGAAGACCCTATAATCATACGATCCGAATTCTTTTCGAAACAGATAAATCCGATGGTATTTACATATCCGATTCGATCCGTTTGCAGCCCTACTAGGTTGTGATTATTACAGGGGTGAGAGGCCTACAGCTCTTCAGCGACGAATCTAGTAGCCGAGTGAAAAGAAAATTGCGCGCCTTTCTGGTTTGACTAGCACTTGCAGCAATGGAGCTCGCAGACGAAGGTGTCGAAAAAGTAGTTGATTCTAAGGATTTGCAACAACAGAGCAAGGCCCTCGACAAGCTTACCGATCGTGTCGAAGATCGTCAACTCGATTCAACCAGAGTCCAAGAGGTTAGCCTCCGTATCTATTATCCTCTCCCCCCGTTATGGGCTTAACTGAGAATGTTAAACGAGTACAAGGAACACAAAAACATCTCGATCAATTACTTAGCTGTCCCAAGCAAATCCCTATCTCTCACTCTTCATTTTTTTACCAACCCTTTTTCTTTTGTCTCAGATGATTTTAGTCCGCACTCGTCTTCTTTTTTATGCGCTCTTATTGTATCTCAGTTCGGGATTTCAGGCTTTTAGGGTTCTGTCCAAATGGGTGCTCTGAATTCATATTCTTGATTGGCTTTATCTTATCAATGGCTTATTTTTTTTCCAGATAATGCGGCTTTCTTTATTTCTTAGATTTTGCTCTGTTGTTTCAGGATATTGTATTTATGTTTCTTTTCAAAATTTGATATTCTTTTTCATGTTATTTTCTCCCTTTTTTGGTTCTAACTAAATTCATAGTATCTAAGTTAACCTTGATTTTTTTTTGTTTTTCTGTGTATCATGTGATGGCTTCTTCCTTTTCTTGGTTCTTTGCTCAAGTAATCATGAAGGGCGTCTGAAATTCTTCTAGGGCTCTATTGAATTTATGCCTTGATTGTATTTACGGTTAATCTCACAGCTGTGGTGACATGCAGGCTATGGCATCGATTGCCGCATCTGCTGAAGCTGATTTGAATGCCATGAGAATGAGGTGTGTGTTCTATGTGATCAATATAAATATATCGATATTTTATCTTTTTTATGTTCGTTTATGGCATTTTCTGAAATAAGTACTTCTCGCTGAGAATAGAGATAGTACAAGGCAATGTAGTTAGTAAGCCCAAGTTTGTGTGGGTTGGGGGGAAGGCTGACAAGAATTTTGCATTCTTATATTACTAATTCACTTTATCTATTTTTCATATACATATATAATATATTAATTATTAAGTTTTTCTAGTGCTGCTTTGAATTGATGACCATGACATACAGAAGAGAGAGAATGTGGATATCAATTACTAATGACCATTAAATTGCATAATATAATAAAACTAACTTTCCAGGAAGAAATGTCTTAGTTCCCACAGTACTTGTTTGAAACAATTTAGTGGAAGCATAGTTTAAGGCGCAAGCCGCATGACCTAGGTGATCAGGCTTTTTTGTTGGATAATCTTGTTCCTTGTCTTGATGAATTATATGGGAGTTGTTACAGCTTTAGGTGTAGTGTAGCTGATTCATACAATATTTGTAAATGAAGTTAAAGGGTGTAACAGGGATAACCATTATCATCGTTGTTGGCGTCACCCAAGCCTTATCCCAACTATATGGGATTGGCCACATGAATCATGTTTCACCAGTCTGTTCTGTTTAATGCTACATCCTTTGTTAAATTATTGGCAATTAAATCATTTCTTACTACTTCTAACTATGTCCTTTTTGGTCTATCCCTTGCCCTTCTAGTCCCTTCTACTTGCATCAAGTCAATTCTTCTTACCTATTGGATTCCTTCATTGCTGTGGTGATTACATTTGTAGTTTCCATGGATATTTGTTGGAAGCCAACTTTTCTTTTGATCATAATAAAATTATATAGTTCTTGTCGTATAATTTTGCTTCTTTCTTAAGAAGGTAAAGTATTGTATTCTATTAATATGCCAAAAATAGAAATTGCAATAGCCTGTTGTACATTGAGAGACTGAACATTTGGGATATACAAAAAGAGAAACATATATAGTGTCAGACAAAAGATGGTCCAGCTTCCAATAAAAGAACTAAGATGGACTCCCTGAATGTGCTTCTATACACCTAACCAAGAACATAGTAGCCCTTTGAGTTCTTTTTTTTTGTCTTTTCCATTATCAGTGTACTTAGACTGTGTAATCGCCATCCTTGAAACAGCTGCAACAGTGTTTTGGGGAGACAAAACTGTGCTCCAAAACATAAGATTGCCAAAACTCATAACTGGTGTTAGAATTTGCAATGAATGGAATTTTGTTACTTAAAGGGCAGATATCACAATTGAAATCCATTCCTCTTATCAAGAAGAGAGTGGTTTATGGAGTTATAGTAACTTGAAGAGGAAATTCAGATGGCTGGTTCAAGAGATGGAAGTTAAAATCAATTGGGTAAAAAGATCAGCTAATTCTTTTGCTGATGGGTTAGCTGGACAAGGGGTGGACAGGGATGTCATGTTTTGGGCACAGATGTAACTTAATTTTTTTTCTTTCTTATGTTCTCTCTTCTCTCTTGTTTCTTCTCTTGGGGCTCATAATTTAATTGGGAGATAAGAAAGTTTGTCTTCCTCTTTGTAATTATTGTGATAATTAATGAATTGTATTATTGATAAAAAAAAAATCTGTAGTTGAACACCATTCAAGAGTAGCAGTTCAGACTAGAAAAGCTACTTTGATGGGATGTGACAAAAGAAGATTCCAACCCAAAGGAAGATATTTCCCTGCTTGTGAACCAACTTATTGTATAAAGTCTGAATTGAAAACTTTCCCGATTTCTCCCATGCATCAGCCTCTAAATTATTGGGTTTTATTACTTAAAATCAACCTTAACAGCCAAGTCATTGGATTGACTTCTCAATCATTTAATTTTTTTTTGAAAATTCCTGATTAGTACCCTGTACTTTGGGTTTAGTGCCATTTTGGTCCATGAACTTTAAAACACAACAATTCAGTACTTGAACTTTCAAAACGTGCCAATCCAGTACCTGTTGTTAACCAGCCGTTAAGTGGCATTTGAAAAGACAAAAATACCCTTCGAGTGTCATCTAATTCTCTTTATCAACCATCCAAACGTTGACAAAAATGAATAGTCCCAAATCCTTGACCCCAACTTTCTTGAATAGAAGAGGCTAGGATTTGAGACTGTTCATTTTTTGTCAACATTTGGATGGTTGATAAAGAGAATTAGATGACACTTTATCTTTTCAAAGGCCACTTAACAGATGGTTAACAGGTTGGTTAACGACAGGTACTGGATTAGCACGTTTTAAAAGTTTGAGTGTCTTAATCAGGTTTGTTTGGATCCCTCCAAGCCAGATAAGAGGGTTTGGACTCCTAGACCCAATGRAACCTTCACTTGTGCTTMTTTYTTCAAGTCCATCTCTCAACTTTCTACTCACCAACCCTTTCCGTCAAAAGAAATTTGGTGTAGGC